CCTCTCAGATCTTGGCAGTGGCCCTCAGCAGTCCTCACCATGACCATTAATTGGGGTGTCATTGATCAGCAGATGAGCGCACCCACCTGGATGTGCGGAATCCACAGGCTTCCAATAGGCATGCACAGGCTTCCAATAACCATGAACTGGCTGTGTCAGAGACCACATCACCCAAGATAAAGTTTAGAAAGCACCATGCCCTCCATTATGATCTTTCTTCATGGGGCACCCAAGACCCTGTTGTTGCAAGCAAAATGCCTGCACCCAACAGCTCTGCTTTTGTACTGTAAACACACATGATGCAAACTTTCTCTGCTAGTTAGGGGACAGTGCTGGGGCTTTGGTAGGCAAGGTAGACAACATTAGTCTGCTCTGATAAAGCATGAGGAGGTAAATTATTCTATGCAACTCAGAAGTCATTCAGATGGTACTTTTGGCATTTCCTCCCCCCCCTCCTTGCTTTTGTTCTGTCAGTCTGAAGAGAACAGCTCGTGTGATGTAATTTAGAATGGAGCTTTTTTAAAGCTTTCACTCAGGAAAAGCTTTGGGAGCTCTGGGGGTATAGCTTAGCTTCAAGAAATAGAAAGAAAGCAAGTTTGCATTGACAGCTTGATCCCAGAGAGAGGTGGCTGCCTGCTTGTCTAACAGGTCCTCTGGGTCTGGATGAGGCAGAGACAGAGGAGCAGTCATATTAAGTGAACGTGCGCTGCCAATGTTAAAGGAACAATTACCATTATTCTGCATAGTTCACTGTTTGCTACTGCTATTTCCTTCAATAAAACCTCTTTTCACTTGCCAATTGGAGCTTGTCATGTAACAATATTTCTTATGCACAATACACATACTAAAATGCCCCTGTGTTTTTAATACATTTATAGTTGTTAACAATAGTGGTATAGTGACAGAAAAAATGTACTTGCTTTGAATACAGAACAGATTGCAAAAAGAGCAAACCAGAGGCCCTGCTCTAAAGGATTAATGGGGGTTAGATTTTGCCTAATCTCTGTTGAAACAGTGACACCTCTTCCATTTCTCTCACTCGCACTTTTTCCTCTCAGAGCCTGGACTGTGACCTCCTTGCTTGGAAGGGTTTATATACCGAAGCCTTAAGCAAAGGCTTCAGTGGAAGTTTTGATGTGAGGAACTGGTGAGCCCTCCTACCCTTAATGCTCAGCATGCCTCTTCTGGGGCTTTGGTGAGCTCAGTGTGCTGAAGGTTGCCCAGCCAACCCTTTGATCCTTGTGCATGGTCCACAGACAGGCAGGAATGTGTTGACCAACCATCGAGCAACACCTGAAACTTCTGGTGTTCACATCAGGCACTAGCACAACTCCTTAGCATTGCAGTTCCTTCTAAAGCAGGACCAACAGCAGGCGCTGGGGAGAGGATGGTGTTTCACTGAGGTTGCAGGAGCTCTGCAGCTCTCCTCTGAAAATCTGTACAATGAAGACATTGTGCTAGTATGGCACTTGCCAGCATCACAAAACCAGGTGGAAATGACCACAGAGAAGGTGCCACAGTGAGAAGAAATTAAGTGTTTGTGCTTGTGAGCAGGCTGAACCTAATATTTCATGCACCCAAATGAACAAGCAGCTGCTTGGAAACCCTTGTAGCACACCCATGAAAGAAACTTTCTTCTGCCATAAGATTCTTGTTTTCTAAGAACACTATTTTGTTCTGAACAAGTTAATATACACAGGAAAAGACATCTTGAGTGTTCCTGGACTCTCCTACACTATCCAGGAATAGTGATAGACTGTGAGTTTAAACACATCCTTCCACTGCACAGCAAGAAAAGTGTATTTAATACTGTGAGCAGAACAGTTACCATGCTTGCCTTTGCCAGAGCTGGCAAGAATACACTGTCCTAAAAGTACTTGTTACATAATTAAGAAACAGTGGATGTCATCTGTGTGCCCCCAGAATAGGTGTTCTGAATCTTTGGTGTCCCCTGAGAAGACAAATGTTTTGTGAAGATGTATAGCATGATACATCCTCTGCTTCAGATATTGCTGATTGCTTTGGCTATGACTTTCTGAGAAAAAGAGCAAAGAAACCCAGAGAAGGCTATTGGAGGTTATTGCAGGTTGTTTTGGAGCCTGATCTGCTGAGCTCCCTGGAAGTCTTTCCATAGACACCTGGTGATACTGGATCAGGCCCTTGCAGAGCTAAATAAATGGTTTCCCATCACAGTCCAGCAAAGGCTTCTCCACAGCACCTCGGGAGGTACTCACATAGCAATAAGATTCCTAATGTTTGCTATAGAGGAGAAGTCCGGCTCCCAGTTGTGTTCCAGTATGGCATTGAGAGATTGAAAAATCTAAGTGTTTGCTTGGAAGGTCTTTAGAAGATGTAAGACTCACAGATTGCCACTTATCATTGGATTTGAATCAAAGAAAAGCTTTTATAATTTACTAGAAGACATGGGGTTTTGTAGTCATACATTATCACTTGCCAATTTACCACAAGCAGATCTTTAAGGACCATCTCTGAGAAATGCTGCATCTTCTGTGATTTGCAGCTCTATTTGACAGCGTTTAAAATGTTTGGACATATTTTAAGGAAATAGGTGGTTTTGGTGGTGTTTCCCCCCACCAAATCAGAATTCTGACAGCCTCAGAGTTCCTCTAGCATTAATGTTGTGCAAGGATGTATTTGTGACCATAACCATGTGTAATACCTGCTTTGGGAATAAGCTCTCTACATAACTTCAGTGTCAGTCAGAAAGCAGCACAATTGCCAAAGACCTTGGAACATGAAAGGAAGACACTGTGCTGTCTTTTCATTGGAATGTTCACAAATTCTGCCTAGTGATCCCTCTGATATTTTCACTTTTCAATAGATAGTGCTTACCAAAAATAAAACAGAATTTTAAGTGCCTTCCAGATTAAATGAGAGAGTTTTATGTAGGAAAAAAAAAAATCTTTTGTAATAAACTCAGTGTTTTCTGTTTTACATTACCTATAAAATTCACAAACTGAGCAGTGAGCAATTACACACACAAGCATGTCCGCAGGTGAGCCCCACCATCAGTTACCGTGTCAGCATCTTAAATAAAGCCCTGTCCACTTCTGGCTACTCTGTTCTGATTAGGATTTTATTTCTGAAACTTGATCATATTGGCAGACAATCTTAACCTCAGTGATGGGGTGAGTAATTAACTGTGAGAGGAAGGAAGGAAGACTGAATTAATGCACCAGGGCTGTTGAGAAAAGGACTATAATAATACTAAAGCTTTTTTTTCCTTTAATTTGAAAACAACACAATCAAATCAGAAAAGCTAATGCATCGAAATCTCCAGCTTCACACTCTGCAGCCAGGAATAAAGAAAGTTTAAGAGCTCTGAGTTATCCCTGCAGTACAATAAGCAGCTGCCTGTGAGTGTTGGGATGGACCTGCCTCAGCACATGGTGCAGGGCATCCATGCAGCTCCAGCAGATGTGTGTGGCGTTGTGCATCCCAAATCCCCACAGCCAGGGACTGGCGCAGCTCTGTGGTGGCTGGAGTGGCCTACTGACATTAATGAAAATAAATAGATGTTTAGTTTTCCACTTGGAGGGGGAAGGACAGGGCTGTGTGCTTTAGGTTCAGGTTCAGTTTGAAAATGACTTGCTTTGAGTTTAATTATCTCTTAGCAAAATGTCAGGAGTGCAGCTTTGAAACAGAAAGAAGTAAACAAAAGAATATGGAGCTTTATTTTTCTTTGCAAAAGCTTTTCAGGGTTGGTTCATGTGATAGAGCTGCCACAGCACCTGGAAGATCCAAAAACCCAACCTGAGGCTTGAATTCAACTTCAGAAATAGCCACTCCTCCCAGAGAAGACGATCTCTTTCAAGAGCTGCCGGAGTAACAACAGGGTGCCAGGATGCCCCGGAGGAAATTAATTCAAAACAGGAAAAAGATAAAAAAATTACCCGTCAGCAAGCAATATGTGAAATGCTGGGAGAGCCTGCTGCTCTCTGGACTATCCCCAGTTACTACAGTGAATTTATTTCACAGAGGCCGTTTCATACAGTCACAACAGCCAGGACAGAAATACAGACCTGAAGAAAACCTTTGAGGAAAGAAAACAGTGGGTGAAGGAGAATTTGGAAGATCTGATCTAGAAACAAACCATGGTGGCTCCAGCATGGCTTTCTTGGAGGATGCACAGCTGTAACCTGCACCTTGACCCGTGGATTTCAGTGACAGCACTGCCTGTTGACCAGCTGTGGTTATGTTTCTGCTGCAGTTGACACTTAATACCAAAGCTGCGAAGTTCCTGTGAAAATCTGGTGATTTATCTTGGTGCTTATCAGCCCAGGGCTCCTGAGGACCAGGCACCAAGTTCTGACACAGAGCAATGGGAAGTGCAGGTCTCTTGGCAAGCACCTGTAAACTGAACGTCCACTGAACATGCTACAAAAGCAGTTGTGAATTTTGTTATTGTGTTCATTGAAAGCATGAATTACATGCAGTGTCTAAATGCAGATGATGATGTCTGATGCAATAGGGACGTTAGAATTAGCGTATAAAAACCTTTTTTTTAAGCATTTGGTCCCACTTCTTGCAAAGTCCATTGCAACTCTGAAGTGTAAGTGACAACATAAAATTCACACCGATCCTTTCAATACTTTTTTAAGCATCCTTAAATCCAGCTTTTTTTTCTGCTGTACATCTTACTTTTTATAGTTAAAAGTAATTTTAAAGCAAAAAAGAACATAAACAATATACACTGACTCTTGACACTCCATTGCTTTCTTAAAGTAGAATAATAAAAATTTGCAAATGAACAAAAGAGTGGGAGGAAGATATCTGATTTACAATGTTTTTGAGATAAAGAACACTATAAAAAAAGATCAATGTGAATAATAAAGCATTGTTAACTGAGTCATGACATTTCTATTCTCAGTGAAGATTTGAACAGTAGAGCTCTGCAAATGAGCACCTTGTGCCATTTTCAAAGTGGGAGGAAGACATATAATTATAATTTTTAAAGTGAAGAGAATTTAAGAAAAAAATCTCTCTGAAAAAGTTTATTGAAAAACATATCGACATATCAATATGACATAAATTACTTTGATTTTATTAAACTAGGAGGGGGGGAAACCTCTTTTTGAAGACTGGCTGCAGAAAGCATTCCTTGAAAAGAATTGTCTTTATTAAAAACTCTTTTGCTAAGATGAAACAGCACTGAATGTCAGCACTACCGTATATTTATTCTGTAACTCTTCCAACAGCTGAGATCTATAAAAGAAACATATTTTCAAAACAGTTTTAACCTCCATTGTCTTGATCGTTCGTATTAACATTTTTCATGTCACCTATTGAAATCCCTTAAAGGAACCGTTTATTCAGTCAAAATTAATGAAGCCATCTCCTTAAACATCCTCCAAAAAGTAAAAAGGACATAATGTTGTGCATTTTATTTGACATAAGTTTTCTGCCATTTCACTTATTCCTGTGATGAGAGCAAAACTTCATATTTATGCTATCAAATCTGCAGAGTAAAGTGATTTTGAGAGAGAAGAAAACTAACTCTGCTCTTGCTGTGTGTGCAATTTAAATCCACGGTGAAAATACAGCATTGATCAGATTACTCCAATTGAGTCATTTAGTGCTTTGGCATTCCTGAAGTGAGGACCCAGCTGTGAAATCATACTTGGGGCCAAACTTTCCTGCTAGGTGAGTGCACATGGCTCCCATTTTCTTCAAAGGGAATGACACACATGGCCAATATTTAACTTTCACCTCTCCCATTCTTCAGCTAGCAAAGCCAGAATCAATGGACTATATGCAGGCAATTTAATAGAATTAAGAATATAATCAAGATTTTCCAGGACTTACTAGTGATTTGGGCTATATAACTCCATACATCTCAAAGCACAGATGCTCAGCATATTCTGAAAATCAAGCCATCTCAAATGTCTTAGTTTAAGCAGGTAAAATCATAAATCACTTTGAGTATTTTGGCTATTGGCTCCTAACAAACAGGGTGTAGGATACTTTTTCAAAATCCTAAGTTTCAATTTCTGGGTTGGCTGGGATGCCAGGGAGACTTACCGCATCCCAACACATTTTGGGTACTGCATTTGCACACATTTATCCCCCACCATTACCATTATGGGACTTAAGCAAAGTGCAGGCACCCTTCTGTAGCAGCCATCCCCTTGAGAAAATCCCAATTCTAGTTCTGCACATCCCCTGGGATGGTCTGGACTGCTGGGATGGCCCACAGGACTTTGAGGCATAAGTGCCACAGAAAAAAAAAAAGCTGCGTCCCAAAATCTTGCTGCCCCATGGTGTATGCAAATCTTCAACTCAAGGTCAAGTGGAAAACTTTCCTACCATCCTTGCTGACTCTCCGCTTCACTTTCCCCCGATTCCATCTGTTCCTCACCCATCTCCTTCATTCCGCACTTGCCTCCCTCTTCTTCCTGTGTCCATCTGTTCCCTCCTTCCTCAACACAAGTCGGGGAAGGGAAGTAAATTCAGTCATTCACTGAACAGATTTCAAGATGAACCCCCTCCCTCTCCAGTTCTAACTTCATTCATCATGGTAAAAATTATAATGAATAGAAATGTTGAAGGTGAAAATTTATTAGGGATTTTGTTGCTTTCTTACATCAAAAGCAGTTAAAGCTGCGTATAAACATTGGCTTCATTCATTTTTCTTAATATATGGTATAATTAGCGAGAAATATTAGTGGAAGTGTTTGCTATGCAGTCCATCAACACATGCCTGTCAGAGTTTAGGATCTGGGCCAAAATTTTTTGCCAGTCCTGTGATAGATTTATAATAAGCATATAGAAGGCTTTACAGTCAGCTGGGTCACTAATTCATAAAGTTAAAATGCATGCAATGAGGTCAAAAATTCACTATTGATAAAATACCCCCTCCCGGGATTGCACCATTAGATTTGTTACTGCAACAGTAAAATAAAATAAACCCAAAGCTCCTGTGAATTGCCAGTCCATCATCATAAATCAAAAAAGAAGCACTTGCACAAGTTCATGATGTCATATGAAGCCGAATATATATTTATAGTCTTGTGTACTATTTCCTGTTTCCTTACAACAAAAATAAAGTCTCTAAATCCCCTGTATCCTTATGCCTGTGCTCAGCAAAATGTAATGGGCACGAAACTATGAAAGCATTCATGATATATTAGCCTAGGCCAGCTTGCTTCAGGTCGGCTGTGACACCCTCTCTCCCTCTGGCCTCTCCTACGTGGATGGCAGCAGTTCCCATGGAGTTTGCTCCACCTGTTGCACTCACCATAGGGATAGTCCTACACCTCTTCCTACTTTGCCTCCCTGACCTTGGGAGAGAGAGGAAGGTTTAAGCCTCCAAGCCCTACATGTGGAGTGGATTGCCTGGCAAGCACAGCAGAAGTGCAGGAGCTCAGCACCCATGTGGGGACCTGGGATTGCCACAACATGGACCCTGGACATCTTGTCTGTCAAGGTGGCTAAACCACAGAAGTTTTAGCTTGGGCTGCAATTTCCTCTCTCCTCCTTTGCTTATGATTTGGGAACCTCATTTAAGGTTTCTGGGGTGTTTGGTATGGATGATTCCCCGCATTTCAACGCAGACCTCCCAGCCCTCACATTCTCTGTACCTACCTGAAAGAGGAAATTCTGTGTTTGCCAGCGATCTTCTTCCCCTCTTCTCAGATGAAACTTTCTTAGGAATTTGTTTTATTTTGGGCTTCCTTTCCAGAAATGAGACAGAGGGTAACAGAAACAGTGCACCATCCCATGTAATTTCTATCTGCAAGGAATCACACTTGTTTCTATTTACACCCAAAGCAACAACTCTTGAAGTCAATGACTAAGTGTCTGGGGTGATACACATGTCAAACCACATTTATTTACAGTGTTCTTCTGCAATGTTGTTTTGTTCTTCCACCAAGACAGCTGCACCAGCTCCCTGCCTCTCCCGGTGCTCCCTGGGGTGACTCCAAGCAGTGAGGACCAGCCAGGTAAGCAAGATTCGGGCCCCACACGTATTTCACACCATGCAGAAATACCCCTGACATCCCTTCCCATTGCTGTTGGCAGACAATAATGTCCTTTAGAATGGCAAAAAAAAGGTTTTTTTTGTTTTCTTTTTACTTTTTCTTCTTTGAAACATGGTCACTGAAACTTGGGTTTTGGGTTTCATTTTACTATGAGTCTTTTCAAACCAAATGAGTTCTGTTCAAGCCTTTATACTTACAAGTTATCATCCATCAGGTCTGATGTAACTCTGCCTGCTTCATCTTAGGACTGAATGGACATGGCACACAGCTCTTTCAGTGATGACTATGTGATATATTAAACAGACAGGTAGCGACGGCAGTGCAAGGGATAACAAATGGCAGGGAGATCAGCCAGGAGTTCCTTTGGTTCTTTCACTACACTGATACGTGAAGATGTCTCATGGTGAAATGAAAAAGTTACACATTCTAGACTGATAGAGTTTTCCACAGCTCACCATTAACCCTTGGGACTCCTTGCCACTGGGATGAGAGGCAAAGGGCCACTGCCAGGATGGATTGGGAACAAATGCCACCAGCCACAGGCTCCCTTCTTCTTTGCTTGCAAGATGCGTATGAGATCTACATAGGGTGATAAATCAGTTCTCCTCCTTCTCTTTTAGTGGCAGCTCTCCCTAACCACTTGCTCTGAACAGATCTTTAGTGTTACCCATGTTGCTGCAGTCCTCGTCCAGCAGAACAAAGCAGAGCAGTCAGAACAGAGCAGAACAGTCCCTTGCCAAAAACAGACTTAGAGCGTTTATATGCCACTATATAAATTTGCTTTCTAAAGTTTGCTAGGAAACTCTAGCCATCCATTCTCCAGGGCTGCAAGACCCTGGGTTGTGCCTAAATCAATGAAGAGAACCAGAGGTCAGGGGGCCTACTGTAAAATGCCAGTCCTGGTATCACTGTTCCTCACTATTAACCAGAGGGATCTGGGGCAGGTATCAGTGGAAAGTAAGTGATTTACTTTGTGCTTTCATGAATTTAGACACTATAGTCAGCCACCTGAGTCACCCAACTAAAAAAAGAATTTTGTGTGAGTCTTGAGACTATGTCTATCTTTAATACAACCATGGGTGAACGATTCCAGTCCTACTGCAACAGCCAAGGCAAGCCCAGCTTTCTTGTATGAGAAAGCTGCTACTTCATGATACCCTTTAAAAATGGCACATTGTGGGGGTTTACCTCTAGCTGCCTTTGATAACAGTTTAACACTGAATAATCTGAGCTTTCTTCATCATGATACACTTATTTTCCCCTTTTAATTCACTTCAGTGGATGATTTCTACACATTAAAAACACAGACATTAGTGCATAGTTGGGGCTGAACATAGGATCTTACAAAACAGTAACAAAGTTTGACCTTCTGCCCATCTCTAATTGTAATTTAGGGGGTTTTGTTACATTCTCATTTAGCAGTAATCTTAAATAATATCAGTTGTGCATAATATATTCTTAAAGCTTATTTTCTGCACTTATTTGTTTCTAACTCTCAACCTATATGTTCCATACAGAAACAAACTATAAAAGAGAAAAAAGTGCTAACTACTTTTTTTTATGCTCATCTAGCATAATCTTTATTACTTTAGACACTTTGTGCAAACATTAAATTGATAAAAGACATAATGTAGATGGACCCACAGCTGAACTGAAGGTAATTGTATAAAAATGAAATGGAGACCTATAATTGTACAATACTTTAGCCTCTATCGCACTGTTTTCTGGATGCAAGGATCTCGCTTGTCATAGCAAGTTGCTTGTTATGGTGATTGCATGAAGACTTGATCTAGCTGTACAAGACAAGTATAACATTACTGAAAGGGAGCTTTTCAAACTAAGAGTCTGACACTAAAATGTACTGTATTTTCAAAGATGTAGTATGCTTTAACAAACAGAAGAGTCCTTGAATGACAGCTTTTGTTACCCTTTTGTTTGATGGTGCTGCATTGAAAAATTCAGGTTATGTCTGTGCCTTTCTATTTCTGGTTTTGATTTCTCTTCAATAGCACTTCAAGAATAAAAATTGACTCGAAGCATGAATAGTAGAAGTCAGTGGATACAGTAAATGTTAGTCTGGCATTTACTGATTACTTCCGTCTGATTTTTTTCAGTCTCGTCTTTTGAATGCTTAAATGCATTCTGTGGGCTATTATATTGTTGCAGAAATGGGGAACTCAACAGATACATTGCAATTTAAAATGTACCCAGTTTAGACCCTTGGGCCAATTTTGAAAGTGGAAAATTATAGAAACCATCATTCTTGCCTAGGTCTTTCAATCTGATCTGTTGTATTCAATGGCTCAGCCTGTGTGTAGCTCTCAACCTGGACAAACAAGATCCATTGTAAGATTAGCACCTGAATAACAGGTGGGGCATGTGTCTTTTGGGCTCAAAAATCGATTATTATCCAACAAATCCAATGCATAAGCAGGACACTGCTTCCTCTAGAGCTCTGCTACTTCAATTAGCATAATCTTTATTACAACTTTTTCTGCAGACACTATGTTGATGAATGAAAGTGCAGGAAAAAATGTGGTATGTCATTGACTTAGAAACACTGGAAAACAGTGGTTACTGTGCATGTAAGTACATCCAAAATGCAAGATTTTCCACAATTTGGTCTCAAAAGGCCAGCCAGGATGTATGGGCAGGGGTGGGGGAAGCTTCATTTACTTACTCTGGAGAGAAAACCATCAACAAATTATCACAGATAGGTAAAATCAGACTTAGCTTGCCAAGGATGCTGGTTTCCTGCGACCCAGTGTATAATCTGCAGGCAAGCACTACTGCACTTTGCACTGCTGGTTCACACCCGGAGGAGCCATCACTTCTCCTGCCTTTTCCAAGTCTTGCCTGTGGCTTTCTTTCATTGTAATGCTCACAAAACTTGACAGGTATGGGTTTCTGAGACCCCTCTGTGTGCCACTGCTTTTTCCTTCCTTCCACTTCCCTCTATCTCGCCGGTCGCTCTCTGCCTATGGCCAACCTGTAAAGTCTCCAGGACAGGGAAGATTCACATTTCCCTCCTAGTAGACTTAGTCAGTATTGCAAGTTCTAAATCAAGCCCAAACCTCTGCCAACGCACATTTTAAAAGCAGTGATTTAAAGATAAAATGAATACGATAGCTTAGTATTTCTTATTATCCTCTCCCAACATCTTACTCGGCTAAATTTTAAGCGGCTTTTCTGCTACTACATATTTCACCACATGAAGATGATCTAAAATGGCATGAAATCTGACTATGAGTAAAAATTTAAATGAATTGCTGACTCACTGTGTAAGTAAATAGAATCATAGAAATTATAGAGAAATTAGCTTGGAAGGGACCTCATCTGGCCTTTCCTTCAAAGCATGGCTAACTCTGCAGTAAGAGCAGTTACTGGAATCCATACCCAGCTGAGCTCTCCACGCTTCTTCAGCCTTGCTGGGGGCTGCCCAGGTGCTTTACACCTCCCATGATGAAGAATTTGTACCTGTATACAATCCCAATTGCCCTGGATGCAGCTTGTGACAGTGGCCTCTTGTCCTTTTACCTCTGTGCACTGCTGGGGAGAGCTGGGGTCTGGCTTCTCCACTACCCTGGTTATTAAGTAGAAGACAGCACCCAGCCCACTCTTTGCCTTCTCTTCTCCAGGCCAACCAAGCCTAGCTCCTTCAGCCTCTCCTGATAGATCAGATGCCCCAAGACCTGTCACCACCTTGGTGGCTTTCACTGGACACCAGTTAGACCTCAAATCCTTGCTTTCCTCCACTGTGAACCCTACGGTCGCAGTGTTTTTTCACCTGTCTTGCAATCCACCCATCTCATCCACATTTCCTCCTTTTTCCTACAAGGATACTGGGGGCACAACTGCAGCCTCGTCAAGATTTCACTCTCCAACAACCTTTTCTTGGCTTTCCTTTAATATACGTTAGGGGTCAAAGGTACCTGAAAAACAAGAGATATGCAGGCCTCTCTCCCAGCTCCTTGCAGGAGAGCACGCACTAACTACTTTAGAGCATTCGTTATTCCTCTCAGAAAATAGTGTTTGCAAAACTGAGGTGTTTGTAAAGATTGATTTTCTGTATATAGCTCAAGAGCAAGCATATCACACGATTTAAGTAAGATAAAAAGTGAGGCTGTGCTTGATGTGAGGTACAGGAGTTAATCAGCTGTAGATAAGAATTGATGAGGTTTTATCACCCCACCCATAGAGAGAATGACTGTATTTCTTGGCCTCTTGATCACTTCAGAGAGTAAGTGAAACTATATATCAGTCCGTGTTTATCTGTGCCTGAGAAGTTCTTCAAGAATAAATTGAGCTCAGAACTATTCTTAACCTTTCCCCTAGTTGGGGCTTAAAATTAAGCTCTCCCTCTGGTTTCTGAGCTGCCTCTCTGGCACGCTGACAGCATGTGAAGTATCCCATCTTCTAGTTGACTTCCAGGCCAGCGGCACAAGTGCAGATGAAGTTACGAAATAATGAATCTGGATGTTAAAAAGAGACCATCTGGCTTTCTTTGCTACAAGCTTATGAGCCATGGAGAGCTGGCACATCTGCATCTAGATACCACCTACACGCACATTGTTGGCTGTAAATTCAGGGAAACAGAGCTGCTGTTGAAAAATAACAAGATAATTGTTTTGTCTTCTTTCTTATCACAAACAGAAGTTAGGATATCACACTCAAAAGAGATGTCAACTGAGGCAATAGTTCTGTTCTCTTTCCATCCTGATCCCACCCACTGGAAGTGAATTATTACTTCGCCTCTAAATCCACTGGGATTAAGAGAAAAGCTTAGAATGCAAGTTCACAAATACCTACGCTATGAATAAACTTTACTTGCCCAAAGAGACTGAAATCATTAGGTAAGAAAGGTTAGGCCTTGGAAGTAAACAATTGTAGGCTTGGAGATTCTGCATGTTATTCTTTCAGATCTCTGTCTTGGTATCACAAACAAGTCTTTTCTTTTTTTGCTTAATCCCACCAGATAACCATTTTACAAATGAAAAACATACAGATGAAAAGCCTATGAAAGACATGGTTATGAGCTCTGTCACAGAATTCAGCATCACAGGTGCCTCATCAAAGGGTACCAAAAATGAGAAGAAATTCTCAGATGCCAGCACATCATCCATTGCTTCCCTGGAGAAATGCAGAGAATTCACTTACATTGAAGATGACGCATCAGTACATCAGAGAGACAGTGATGGTATGTTTTATAAAACAGATCATATTTAAGCTGATTTCTAAATAATGCCCATTGCAAAAAGCACTATGTGTATCTAACTTAAAATAATTGCTTACGTGCTGAACAGGAGGTTCAAGAACATAGCCAAAAGCAGCATTAAGTTGCCCTGCAATCACTTTTGTGATTGATGAGAATCTGCAGAGGATGACTTTAAATTATCAGTGATATTAAAGTCGTAGAAGAGAAGCTTAGACACAACAGTACATTTGTACTTATATAGTGAGTGTTTGCACAGAGGTACTAATGTCAGTATCAGATAAACAGATGGACACATTTCTCCCCAGTAGCAGAAGCTCCTGCTTTTGCTGTTGGTAGTACTGTGGTTGCTGAACAGATGCTGTGTTTGGTGGTCAACGTATTACTTCTACAGACTTGTGTGTGCAGTTCCTTTATGGACCCTTACATGGAACCCTGCCATTCTGTTGACCCATCACCAAATCCTCCCTCTGCTGACTATACTGCAAAACTCACATGGATCAGGGTGAGGAACTCTCTTCATACTCTGCTCTGCTTCTGCAGAAAACTCTGATGACTGGGCCAGGTGGATACACATGAATAGGACTTCTAGTTAGCTCAGTATGCTCTGTGTTTTGAAGAAGCATATTTGAAAACAAAGTGTTGTGAAAGGTAATTGTAAACCATGACTGCAGCAGATGCCCAGTAGTTCAAGTGCATTTTCACAAATCAACATTGCTAAAACATAACCTGCTCTGGGGCTAATGATCAAAGTGTCTTACCTTTTCTGTAAAGGAGCTGATCCTTTTTATCATGTAAAAGCACAAGTTAGAGCTGGATACCTGCACTATTTTTTGAAAGGGTTTCAGAGGCAAGAGTATAACCAAGAGCCAAGGAGTAGAACAGGCTGTGGACACTCATTACAGACCAAGGGGTGTGACTCCTGTTGATCTAAATTATATAACACCCCTGATTTTAGTGGAATTGTGCTGAGAACCAGCTATTCCTTGTTATGTAACACTGGATGTGATAAAAGGGGCTTCTGCGAAGCATTTTTGAAGTTTCTTATGTGTGCCTTTTACAATAATGGACTAGTGTGCTATACCAAATGGAACTGGGATCTATCGTGTCTATCATTTAACAATTCCTAAATAAAGAATTTCTATATAGATAATCACAATAAACCACCATCCTCTTCAGGAACCATTATCATCTCTATTATATTACCGATCCTGTAATAAAAGGGATGTCTCTGATACATCTATTAGAATGCATTTAATTTCAATGAAGGGTCTGAAATATTTATTTTAATTAGGGGACTCGTTTTCTAGTCCAGACACTCACTATTTTCTCAGTTTGCTGACTATCTGATCAGGCCCTCAACCATTACTGGCACACAGGTATGTACCATGTGATGCAAATAACAGATTTCATACTCCTTAAAAAAGCTAAAAGTGAAGGAAATTAACAAAGAAACCCCAAACAATCTGTGCTCAATTAAGAATGTTAAAGGCTGGAAGGAAGCCAAGGAAACCAAAGGAAGCCAGATTTGTGGCTGTCACTGCATGCTCTGCTCACTCTACTCTGACAAGTTACTGCTTGTTCCACATACATGAGGCCAAATCCTGTTTGCTGGTGCATGGAGAACCTCTGAAGGCAGAGAGGTAGCTGAGGAAATCAGCAATTATTTTGTTCTCTGTACTTAGAGAGGAGCAGATCCAAAGCTCACAGATCTCACCAACAGTGATCGTCCTGGGTTCAGCGAGCTTTGGGCCAGGTTTGTTCAGGGCATCCTCTACACAAGCAGAGGGTAAGCTGGCAGGCATCAAACCAGAGCAGGAAAACTGAGAGATGAGGCAGACTAGCAAAATTGTTAGAAGTTCTTCTTTTGTGCTAATTACTCTACTAATGTAGAGAATGAGAGCTGAGGTCATTGTTCTCACCGAGATAAATGCAGTAATGCCGCTTCACAAACAGCAGGGAAAACAGAGGAGAAAACAGGAGATTGCATCTTCTTTTATGCAGTTTGTGGCTAATTTATTTTCAAATATATAAATGAATGCATAGGAATGGATGTTTAATTGCTAATATCTATTATTTATATACATTACCCCATTTAAAACAGGACAAAAAAGTCTCACACATGCAGATTTTTCGAAATGTGTTACATCCATTATCACAGTTCATGGTGTGTGCTCTGATGGGAATTTAAAAGCATCTTTACTGCACATAACAGACTCTGTGCTGAAACATTACTTTATTATGAAAATCTTGTGCTTTTTGTGTGCTCTTTCCTGGATGAAGCCCTACGACTCAGATCTATTCTCTCCAGATTACATAAGCACCATTATGGTTAACACATTCAGGAGAAAAATACATTATAAGAAAACAGATCTTTGGAGAGAGGAAAAATATTAAAAGATCCTTAATTGGTATATAATTTTGAATTTCATCCCTCGCATCTATGTATAGGAAGGAAATGTCATAAACATAAGATACCTAACAAGAATAATCTTAATTACACCAAGGACTACTGGATAAAATGATTACATTTTCTACAGCGTAAATTTCATACAATTAAATGCAGCAGTGTCACCTTATTAAATGTTTCAATTTTATAATTATTTCAGTTCATTTAGCTAGAAAAAAATATAAGCATGAATTTACTAAGTATCACCAAAATCTAGTCACTCTCATTCTACAGAACTGACTTGGAAGTTAGTTGTGCCTGTCTGAACTTAAATAGATTCTGACATATCTAAAAAAGTATTAAAACTGATAACATCGGTGGTGCTACTTAGACACAAGTTCAACCACATGTTATTTATTCTTGCTACCTGCTTTAACTGCTTCTTTTTTTATATGTATAAAGAAGCTGGAATGATTCTTTAATTTTGTTTTTCATCAAGAAAGCTTTCTTCAAAAGAAAAAAAAAAAGGCATAATTCTGGAAAGTTCCTGGCAGTGAACTTTATGTTACGTGAGATAGAAAATGCCACAACAGAACCAATGCAGTTGAATGAGTTCACAGTTAGTCATCCTAGGGCAAGAAACGTGGTTATAACCATATGCTTTCCTGAAAGAACCAATGAAAAGGCATTCATATTGTTGAAGGCATTTTTCCTTTCCAAAAACAAGGAGGGAAAAAAAATACAAATTGAAAGGTCTGGGTCTTTGCACTCCAACTGGATTCACACAGTCAGAATCTCACACCTGCTCTGAGCCCTGCTGCACCCGGAGGCAGCTTCCCCAGATGCTGTAACTCAAACGGTTGGGAGTTGATTAGTTGTTTTTTGAGGGAAACAAATATAACACAAAGTTTTTGTCACAGTGAGCAAGTTTTCAGGAATATTTACTGGCTCCAGACACACATCCGGGATGATTCCAGTTTCCAAACTTTTCTCTCTGTTCAAAAATTTACAAGTCTGTGAATGAAGAGGTGAGAAACCCATTTTGGTCAGGAAGTGGAAGGACTCTGGGCTGAGAATCAATCAGCGCACTGCCCACTGTAAATGCTCTTCTCCTGACTTGCTTCTCCTGCCTGTCTTTGTCTAGGTAATCTATCTGTCATTTAGATGACAATCATGTCATCAGAAACATGTGGGCCGATCCAAAGGAGTCAGTTCTGAACCCTATGTATGCAGGCAAAAATGCCCTTAAAAGCTATTTGTTTGGAGTTTTTTCTGCTGACTTTTTTTCTTTCCTAGAATAGCATGACCATGCTGATGATTTTTATCTTTAATTGCAAATTCTTGTGAAAAAGAAAATAAGCTCCAGTGTCATGTGCATTAGTGTCCTGATTTAACCCCAGGTGGCAACTAAGCACCACACAGCAGGATGGGGGTGAGAATCAAAAGAGTAAAATTAAGAAAACTCATGGGTTAAGACAAAGACAGTTTAACAGGATAGAAAAGAAATAAAATAATAACAATAATAATAATAAATATTAGGATATACACAATAAGTGATGCAAAATGCAACTGCTTACCAGCCCCTCCAGCCTTCTTTCTGTCGGCATGAGAAGTTGAAAAGTCCTTGACTTGGTATAAACACCTCTTAGCAACAACTAAAAACATCAGTGTGTTATCAGCACTTTTCTCATACTAAATCAAAACACAGCACTGCACCAGCTACTGGGAAGCAAATTAACTCTGTCCCAGGTGAAACCAGGAAGCTTGGTCAGGTAGCACATGTGGCACCATGAAACAGAAGCACTTGTTCACTCCTGGAAGGCTGCAACCCCCTCCACAGAGCATCTCTGATTCATGAGGGTCACTCTTGTAATGAAATTTACAGCCCAAACACTTTAAGAACATAAAATCATAGAATCATTTAGGTTGGAAAAGACCTGTCAGAACAACCATAAAGGTGGTTAGAGTACTTGTTCCTCTGAATTTTACTGCCACGGAATATTTTCATCCAAATCAATTTCATGCCACTGTTGTTTTTCCAGAGCAAACAACATAAAAAATAAATCCTTTCATTTGACTCAATGGAAGTACTTATCATCAATGTATTTTTTGCCTGCCCTTTGTGCTGCCTTGCATCTCATTTCTGTGTAGTGGCAGTCACCTAAACCTAGGTAACCAAGCATGCCCTTTTTCTTATGTCTCGCTGCTTTTCCTTTCTCTTAGATGAATGTGCGACACTTATCCTGGCCTGCTTGTTCTGCCAGTTTTGGGACTTTCTTATAATGCTGCCTGATACCTGTGAACATTGGCTGATAGATACCTGTTGTCCATCCAATAGATACTACCAGACCTCAGATGAAGACCACGCCAACAATGACTGCAACTGTGACTGTGACATTGATTGCAGCCTTTTTGAGTCCTGCCACGAGACTGGTGAATGCCTGGAACTTGCCATGGAGATTTCTGAAGTCTGCTATCGCTAATAGGGAAATAATTGGCAAAATCCCTCAAAACTACCTGAAAGTAAACTGACAGAGTACAAAGGAGGGTTTGTTGGGGTTTTTTTTAGAGATAACAATAATAACTAGAGTGTTTGCCAACCAGGACTATGTGCATCAGGCTGCTCCCACCCTGGAGGTCTGTATACATGTACTATTTTGGTTGTGTGATTTCACAAACTGCTGAAACCAATAAAGGGTTTAAAGAAGACCAAAAAGGGTCTTCTCCTTTGCTGTAGACAACAACAGAATTCCTAAGTGCCAAGAGTGCTCAATGCTTTACCCACTGTCAGTCCAAGGCTTTTATAAACCTCCAATTGCTTTAAACATGGATTTCCCCATTCATAAACACAGGACAAATTAGGATGTTATTTTAGGACTGATATATATTAGTTCATCTTCCTAATGGATTCATACCTAAACATATATTACACATTGTTGGTTATTATTAATAATGTATGATATAGCATCATTTTGTAATTAAAAATTTATTTATTCAATCTCTTAAAACACACTTATACACTCAGTTTAGGTAGAAAAGAAAATTAAATGAATTAGAAACCATGCTAGCAGTAATTACAGCAAATGTCTCTAAAAATCTCCAGTGAATTTTGTAGAGGAAGCATTTTAACAGGGTAGTGCAATTCGACAGTGTATTAATGTGCGTGCCTATGGTTATGTAATAACAGGTTATGCCTATTGTTCATTAGTTATAGGAAAGGGCTCCTTAAGTGTAATTAGCCTAAATGGGAATTGACTGCACGCTTCCAGAGGATAATTACCCCGTGGATAGCCAGTAACTCCTTTGCCTGATTTTCATTTGTAAGAATTCTGCAAGCAGCAGAATATTGCCACCCATTCTAGCGGAAACAGGCATCTCCACCTGCGCACAAAAGATTGCAAAATGACAGTATCTATCCTGGCTGTGCATTCAAAACTCCCTCTATTTCTTTTCTGATGGCAGGTCTGATTAATAAAATGGAAATACATATTTCACATTACACATATGACAACAAAAGCATGTAAATTCAGCTGCCTGAGGGTGCAGAATGCACGTACTAAGCACAGAGGAAAACACAGTGTTGCTTGCTCACATTAGATATTAATAGACTAACACCAAAGACAGTGTTTGCTTTGTATAGGCACTGAAACTTCTTCCTAAACCCCACTGATCTCAGTGCATAAGTGTGTGAGGAATCCCAGACAAGAATCCTGAATAAGATGCTGGGGTACTCAGCATTGTTAAAATCATTGGACTCACTTGTTTAATAATCCGAGTTTCAAATCTGTGTTCCTAACAAATGAATATTTAATTGAAACACAAATTTATGTGAATTTCCTGCTTTTTTCCCCCCAAGTTCTGGAAAATTCATGTTTTCAAAAAGTCAGTAAGTAAGAAGTAGGTAGAACTACTAATGATCTTATCTTACAAAGGTTAGCGACACAAGGCCAACAAACATTAGAAATGCAAAGAGAAGGTCAGCACACCTTGTTTCTGTGCTCCTTCCAGAACATCAATGGGGATTCCTAGTTTTAACTGAGATACAACATTATGAGTTGTAGTCACCTGAAGGAACAAAGTCATTAGTCTTTAATTGCCGCACCCGTGCTAGCTGGCCTGCTCTGTCTGGACCCAGCCCCAGAAAGCACTAACCATTCCTATCCCAGAGGATCTGGTTTTGCACACCCTGGGCTGGGAAATGCTGAGTGTTAATGCTCCAGTTTGCACTCTCCCACAGATTTTGACCTTAAATTTCTCAACAGTGAGTCTCACGACTAAACTCTCAGCACAATTTATCAGGACATCTTATCAGAGGCTTGGTTAATTCCACTTTCCGTCATAGCTTGCTCTCAACAAAGTGGCAACAGGGCACCTATGAATAAAGACACTAACCCAAAGCATTTTAGAGTGAGAAAAGGGGGAAATTTGCACCACATACCATTTCATAGAGAAGTACCAATAGAAATGCATGCTGGCCATTCTTGTTCTTGATGCTGCTGTCTAAAAGGGTAGATTTCGTATACAAATGGCTGGAAGGAGCCCAAGAGAGGAAACCAGAGGGTGGCATATTTCAGAATGCTGCCACTGAGGGATGCGGAGATAGGGAATTTGTCTTGCAAACCAGAATGTCTCCTTCCAGCTCTGAGCCTTTAAGGTAATACATACTGACCACTCTGGGATCAACCATGGCAAGTGAGGTCTCCATATATCAGCTATGCAGCTGAATTAAGGAATCCTGGCACAAACATCTGGGGGGGGGGGGGGGGGGGGGGGTGGGAGGTGTTCAATTCTTTTCCTAGGAATCATTATTCAAAAGAGCTTTTTTCCATGCCATAATCCATAGGCTGGCAAACAGAGGTCATGTCTACTATAGGGCATGGTAAGGTTGAAAAGAGAATTACAATGGTCACGGCCATAGCCGTGGCTAGACAGGATGTCCCAACAATACAAACTGAATCATGCTGTGGGATATATTGAGAGCTGCTGTTGTAGGGAATGATGGTGTTCTAAATAATGCAGCAATATCTTCTTGCCTGAAGTGTACAATGGCACATTGCTCTGTTTCCTGTTTTAGGAAGGAGATTTTGAGAGGCCTTCTGTATGAACAATGAAACCTACAATGTAGGAGAAGCAGAGCTTATGATGACTTTGTTTTCTGTCACAAAACTGTTGATTTCAACATTGCATTTTCATGGCACACAGGAACCCTTTAAAACATTGACACAGAAAAAGCCAGTCAGACCTTTCCATTAACTATTCTAGAAACTTGGTTTCCTCTTTGTAGAGCCATCCTATTCCCACACTAAACTGACTTCCTGGGCCAGATAAATACCCATTTATCAGATTTGAACATGGGTAGACATTCCAGTGAAACAGAAATGATTTGAAACAATTCAAGTCTGTCTCTGTATTTTCTATTTACCGGGAAGGAAGGAAGGAAGGTCTGAGCGCTTGAGTGGGAGGCGTTTGGGTGGATGGCTGTTCCGAACATGTTGGACTCAGCTGTGCTCCCGGAGAGATGTCAGCTCCACAGTGTGTGAAACCAGCTCCCCAGAACAACAAATAGAAGTTACCATTTTGCAAACGGGAACATCGCTCCGACACGACGCCTCTCCTCAGCACCATAAATGCGCTGACAGATTGGCTGGGGGAAGAGAGAGACGGAGATCATAATGAAGAGCTACATTGCTACCTTTTACAGGAAGGGACCATGGGATGCTCTCTAAGGATCTCCTCTTGGAAATGACCCAGCAGTCTTATCCTTGAAAGGAAAATGTCTGTTTACCTGCTTTCACTGGGCTCTCAGGACACAGGACAGATCAGGACATAAACTCTTTACAGCAGAAATTTTCATTCGCTAAATATTGTACTGCACACACAGGACTGAATACAAATGGCCTCAGGGTGCTTCCAAAAGTTTAAAGACCAGTTATCTCTAAGAAATGCAATTCTCTGACTGAACATGAGCCCTTCCATGAGGCTGTTCTGGTGTCTTACACTCCATGCACATTATGAGTTATTTTAGATACGGGGCTAACAAAAATTAGCCCATGTACCCCCCAATTACAGGGATGGAACATACTATATTGCCTGCTTTGACTTTCCTCTGCTTCCTAGAGCATTTTGATCATTCATACTCATCTAAGCAATCACAACCAGAATGACCAAGACCTTCGAAATGTCAAAACATACAGCTCTGCCTTAACTCCATTGCTTAAGGATTCAGGCTGAGTGCTACACCTGAGCTCTGGAAGAGTTTGGTTCTCAGGAAGAAAGCAAAATACGGGAACAATTAAGATGTTTGCAATTGTATTTCTCATATTGTTATGCTTGTACAGTACCAAAAAAAAAGTTCAACAGTAATGGACTAAGAATGTATGTATCTATTAAATTTTCCTTTTAGTTACATGAAATGGGTGGTTCCGTTGCTTTAATCTTCCTCTATGTCAAGATATATATGAGGTGTCTTAAATACAAAAAAAGTTCCCTATTATGCAAGGAAAGAAGTTTACCAAACAGACTGGGATTTCCAGGCACTGCTCCACTATAATTCACAGTAACTGAGTATTAATCATGATTAATAATCTATCATTCCTGTGGTTTGGAAAAAAAAAAAAAAAAGAAGGAGGGAATTATTGAGAAACTGCACTTTCTCTTAGCATACTTCACATAATTGCACAATGGAACAGTTCTATGAAGCTCATTGTTCCACTGGCAACAATCTAGTCTTCCCTAACATTGCTCACCAATGGGAATTGTTGCCATCTGATGCATGTTCCATGGCCTGTGAAAAATGAGTTGGTGGGTGCAAGCCAAGTCATAATGGATGTGTGCCCCTATCACAAAAAACACCATTATAATTGGTACCTTAGGAAAAATGCCAAGGTCTGAGTATAAACTGAGCACTTTCTGTCCTAAGAGCTAGCTCTTCCATGGTAAAAGTTGAAGCAAAGCACAATAGAATGATGCTGAACTGCATCTGCTGCTTCTGTAAAGGGCTTCACCCTCCTGAGGTGGTAACTGGCATCTCATATCTCCTTTAAAATAAGGAGAAAACTCACTCATTGTGGCTCTTGTCCCACACACCTATTAAAGTAATCATGGAGGTTGTGCAAGCATAAAATGAAACAGAACCAGTAGCTGTTATTGTCTTGTCTCTATATTCCAAGAAACAAGAAAGGATGGAGAGTGGTAGATACCTTATTAAGTATATAATTTGTCCTCTTTCAAGCTATATGCAGAAAAAAATAATGTATTGTCACTAAATAAAAATTATCTATTTGCCGATTGCCATTTGAAATACAAGGAATCAACAAATCAGAGAATGGTGAGAATACCTGACCTGGTACTTTCCAGTGGTGAGCCCACAATGTCTTTGTATTGAAGAGTGACCAGTTCACAGGCCACTAGACCATCTTACTAATAAAATAAAAAGCAAACAATGAAGATGTCTGATGGATATTCTGCTGATGTCAGTTTAAGTTACAAAGTGTATTGGAAAAATCTGTTTCCTTTTTATAGAATCTTGCAACTGAAGTCATTCACTTGCTCATGCCACAGTACATTAAAATGACCATGGTACAAAAAGAGAAAAATGAAAACCTACCTTATGCAAGTGCACAGGAAAATCACCATCAATATCATTAAAATGCAGACTCAATTTATATTGTTAGTTTTGCCATGATTTCTATAAAGTAAAAAATAATGCCAGAGAGCACTGAAGAAATATTATTAGATCAACTGTATAAAAAGCATGAGTGATTCCATTAGCAAGCACAGCTGAGAGAAGACAGGATTTAGATCAAATCTAAATATGATGAGATTATACACCCAAAGTGACATGTCCATTTTAGAAAACATTCTGAGTAGGGACAGAGGAAGAAAAACAAAAGTAGAATGTTGGTTTTATGTTGTGAAACATTCCATCTTACACAGCATTTAAAAATCTGATGGAAACATCCTATTAGCTTATCAGTTTTATACTGTACTTCTTCTAGGTAAATAACAAGTGTGCAGTTAATTTCCAGGGACACCCTTTGTTCATCTTTATTGCAGTGTATTTGCATCATTCATCCTCTCAGAGAGTCAATGTGCCTAATCACTCGATACAGCCATCATACACACAAGCTCTTCTACTCAGGAAACAGCAAAGCTACACACAGAACCACAGTTTCAGGTGCTAAAAACCTCTGGGGTGTGTTGTACTATGTTTTTGCTCTACATGGAGGGTGAACCAAAATGTGCCAAAGGCTGGTGTTAAATGGGATGGTCAATCGTTTAAAATAAAGGGATCAGTTTTTTCTAATCTGTTCTCTTTTGGAACAGGAAAGCTCACCCTGCACTTCAAGAGACTTTTCATCAAAAATATAGTCAGAAAAATGTCCCTCCAATAAGTGTTTTTTGCATAGTGCAGTGTCTTAAAAAGTCATAAATAGAGATATGTAAAGGACTAAGAAGCAGAAAGAGATGGGATAACTTTGGGTAATGTAACTGATGGTAGTTGTTACTAGCTCATGATCTTCAGTGGCTCCCTATTCTTTGTGATTTCTGCTGCACCAGAGGCAACGAGTAGGAAAGCAGGACAAGCAGCAGTGGGGCCTTTGCCCCAGCTCTTGGAGATTTCTGCTCCATCACACACTGCCCACTCCTGTCCTCATTTAAATCCATATGGTCTCACTGAAATAAGTTTCATTTGTAAGGGATTTCAACTCTGTTCAAAATGAGGAGTGGAGAAGGACAGGCATCAATATTAATCTTCTCAAAGATATAATCAAATATTAATTAATTTTAAACCCCTTGATCTTACTATGCATTTCAATTTTTCCTATAATCAATAACCCATACACGCCATAAAGTCATCACTGAGAGGGAAAGCTGGAAAAATCCAGCTACCTTTCCAAATGGAAATCAGGAGATATATTTTTAGCTACATTAAGCCAACTGTATGCAGCTCTGCACACTTATGTAATTCCAACATAAAAATAATCCATAATATTCCAGAGGAACAAATCCAATTCTTAGTCATATAAATTTTCATGTAAGTCCATCAAAACCTATTCCAAAAATGTCTCAGTCTCTCTGAGCCCTAGAGTTGGAGCAAAAGAACAAGTCCTTTAAAATGCCTTTGGAGATTCCAGGGAAGTTAAATCTAATTGTCCTTAGCATAGCACTGGTCCACAAAGGTTTAAGTCATGGAAAATGTATGTTACCTTTATACAAGACACACTAAGCAAAGTTTATCATGGCACAGTAAAGTCAGATCTAGCATACTTCGTGCAAATTTCAGACAGAAAGAAGTTAACCTTCGATGCTTCACTTTGACTAATAAGGATGGAAGACTGTGTCTTCTCATTGCAGACATGCAACATTATATGAAGTTATATGACATATTATGGTATGATGTGATGAAACACCCATTTGTGCACTTGAGCGTTTATGTGTATGTGGAAATCCACGTTTAGACTCACAGACATTTATAGCAATGTTTCTATGTTCCAAGAAGCAAGAAAGGATAGAGAGTGGGCAAAGATTAATTGTGATAGATACCTTCTTAAGACAAAGCCAGACCCAACATTCTCTGTTAACACCTTTAGAAGCTGTATAATTATCAGAGCTAAAGTTAAGCAGAAATTCACCAGTAATACTGTTGCTCATGTCAGAGTGATCATTCACTAAAGCAGACCTTGCAGCATCACAGGCAAGGCAGTGCTTGGCACTGCTTATTTCCCTGAAGGGCTCCATGGGGCT